GAAAAGACAGTGATTGGGATTAAGAGATTAAGAAATTTGTTGTGTCCAAAGAAGCAGGAGTTAGTTGACTCTTGTCCACCCTTCTATTTCTTTATCTCTCTCTCTCTCACTCTCTCTCTCTATCTCATCATCTATCTATCTATCTATTTATCTATCTATCTATCTATCTATCTATCATCTATCTACCTATCTATCTATCTATCATCTATCTATCTATCCTGGTATGGAAAAGAGCTCAAAACACAAGGAAAAACAACTTCATAGAGGTTGAGTAACACAGATTTATGCATTTATCAAAACTCATGAAGACTTACGTAAACTAAGGAAGATATAAATTCTACCTCAAAAATATATGATTTTCTTTTTGCATCAGACATTGCTAAATTCTACTCTTTAGGTAATTGCTTATAGCCTGTAGGATTATACACATTAAATCCTCTCCACAACCTTTTCAACAGGGATAGATTAGTCAACTAGCAAAGGTAAGCACAGACTTACTTATTAATCTGTAGTGTACAATTTCACATGGGTTTTATTTATTTATTATAAATTTGAATGCTTTTTATTTTTCTTTCTTTAAAAAAAATCATTTTATTGGTGGTTCTTACACCTCTTATCACAATCCATCCATCCATCCATCTAACCATCCATCCATCCACTGTGTCAAGCACATTTGTACATATGTTGCCATCACCATTTTCAAAACATTTTCTTTCTACTTGAGCCCTTGGTATCAGCTCATTTTTACTCTTCCCCCACCTCCTTCCCTCATGTTCCCTTGATCATTTATAATTTTTTCTATGTCGTACACCAACCACTGTCTCCCTTCACCCACTTTTCTGTTGTCTGTCCCGCTGGGGGGTGGTAAATGTCGATCACTGTGATCAGTTGCCCCTTTCTCACCTCAACCTTCCCCTTCCTCTCATGGTATTGCTACTCTCATTATTGGTACTGAGGGATTTATCTTTCCCAGATTCCTTGTGTTTTGAGCTCTTGTCCATACCAGTGTACATGCTCTGATCTAGCCAGATGAGTAAGGTAGAATTAGGGTCATGACAAAGTGTAGGGGGAAGAGGGAGGAAAGTTTCATGCATGTTTTAAGTTGATTACTGGGTACTTCTTCCCTGTCAGGGACTATAAATTTGAAAAGAGGCTTTGATTCTGTAGGTGAGGTAGGGTTGGGAGAGAGAAAGATGCCAGCCATATCTAAAAGCAAAGAGGCTTTGATTCTGTAGGTGAGGTAGGGTTGGGAGAGAGAAAGATGCCAGCCATATCTAAAAGCAAAGAGGCTTTGATTCTGTAGGTGAGGTAGGGTTGGGAGAGAGAAAGATGCCAGCCATATCTAAAAGCTAAATCTTTGATCTGGTGTAAAAGAATGTGAAACTATTCTTTACAACTTAGTAAGTAAGAACAAGTAAACTCATGCTTACCTTGCTTACTGAGTAACCTTACATTGCTTTTCAGAGACACTAATGTAGCAGAACACTAATGACAGAAGACCTGATGAGCCATGGGAGGACATCAAGTTCATCATTCATAAAGAAAGGAAAAGGTCATTAAAGAAACTATCAAAATGGATGTCAGAAGAGGCTCTGAAACCTGCTCTTAATCGTAGAGTAGCTAAAGCACCTAGAAGAAAGGAGAAAGTAAAATAGCAAATAGAAAATTTCAAAGGGCAGCTCGAGAAGACAAAGCCAAGTATTATAATGAAATGTGCAAAGACCTAGAATTTAAAAAACCCCAAAGGTAGAATACCCTTAGCATATCTA